ATCATTAATAATAATAATAATAATAATACAGATAATGATAATAATAGCCTAATAATAGCCTCATTTGTAGGAGGAAAGTAAAAAAGTAAATCTATCTTGTTTCCTCTTTTCCAGCAACAGAACTTGGTTAAATCTCAGTGGTGGTCCAATTCAACAGTGTTGGAATGTATTTACCGTAAAACTTCAATTAAACGGCCAGTCCCTTTTACTACCCTAGTTTGGCAACACATTTTGACAAATACAAGGGGTGACTAAAGTTTTGAGCCTAACCCAGAAAATGAGTAGCAGAACAAGCCAAATTATTATTTTTTTATAATCTAGCACCTTATCTTATTATCATCATGTTTCAAACTCTTTTTGTTTTATTTTTGTAGATTCCTGAGGTGAATAGAGTATCTTGCTGTGATCAAATATCTTCACCTCAAAGGAATGTCACCATCTGAAATCCACCAAGATATGCTCAGTACTTTTCACGACAATGCCCCTTCATATGCCACAGTCAAACCCTGGGTACAAGAATTCAAGCGTGGCAGGGAGAGTGTTGAAGATGAGCCGAGGTCAGGGAGACCATCAACTGCCACCACCAAAGAAAACCTCGATCTTGCCCTGGACATGATCATGCAAGATTGCTGGTTGTCAACATGACAAATAGCAAGTAGCAGATCATATTCTGATGAATGAGCTTAGCTTCTCAAAAGTTTCTGCTCGATGGGCCCCACATCTTCTGACTGCTGAGCAGAGGCACCATGTCAAGGAACAATTTAGAACTGTTTGAAGCTGATGACAATTTTCTTGCTCAATTCATTACTATGGATGAGCGCTGGGTCCACCACTATGGCCTGTCTCAATTAGACACCTGGACTCGTTGCCAAGCAGTGTAACTGTTTAGATCGCACATACAAATCTAAACTTTTGTCAATATGGAGCTGCTACACATTGTTAGATCGGTTGATTTTATTTTACTGAAACCATGAGCACCAGAGAGGACCTTGATTCATTCAGATTTACTGGCGTCACGAAAACAAATTGTGCCTCCCTTCTTCTGAGGCAGTCATTAAGTCAGACCAGGTGTCCATTCCTTGATTAGCTGATAAGTTATTCATATTCCTTTAGTCCATAAGGGTCCTCAGATCAAATGAATCAGATGTGTTTTTCATGTAAAATTAATTCATATTGTGAGTATTTTTTTAACAGGATAAAGTGGTGCTGTGATGGTGTGCTGGGTGCTGTTATCCTCTGTCTGTCGGAGCTAGATCCTAATTTTTATACAAGTTATATTCATACTGATTTAAATAAATCATCTGATCATATTTCTCAATCGTTGCTGAGCAACAGTTTTGTGTGAAAGGTATTAAAGGCCTATCCCAAATATAGGCCTGCTGATTTTAGTTATTTAAGCAAATAACAGCCCGGGCTATTAATTGAAGTTTTAAGATAAGTCCATTTACTCAAGTACTGTACTAGTACAAATTTGATGTACTCTTACTTTACTTGAGTATTTTGATTTTATGCAACTCTATACTTCTACTCCACCACATTCCATAACTTTAGTCACTTTATAGATTCAGATTAGTGAAACAAATTATAAATCAACTAATACGTTTTGATGTAAAATTATAGAATAAACCACTCAGCAGTATATAAAGTAATTAAATTATCCTCACCTTTACCAGCTGCAACATTAATGATGAACACACTGACACATTAATAATTATAATCCAGTAATATAATGCACATTATTCTGAAATTGGTCATTTGCATAATGAGTACCTTTACTTTAAGTATATTTTAAGTCAATACTTTTGCTTAAGTAACATTTTGAATGTAGTACTTTAACTTGTAACAGAGTATTTTTACACTGTATTATTGTTAAGTTTGCTTAATATCTGAAAACTTCGTCCAACCACTACATTTCACACCCCCACCTCAAAGTTAGTTTGGTTATAATTTAATTAAATGAGAATTTATTTAAGAATATGCACCATGTGAGCATAATGTCATTTGGAATAGGGCTATTATTGGCATTAAAAGATTTCCATTTCAGTTTATATTGTGCTTTAATGTCGCATATTATTAAACTAACTTGCAATTAATCAAATTACCATAAAATTATTGTCAAACAGTGAATCTGTGGCCCTAGAGCATTTCCTGTGTACCTGTTGATCTCAAATGGTTTATAGCACAAAAGACAGATTTTTTTCTATACCAAACATTACTAACAGCCTTTCTTAAAAAAACAGAAATCTCAGCTGAAGGTCTCCAACTGCATCAAGGTCCTCATCAGCAGACTGAATATACTAAATTGCCATGGCAGCTGAGCCACAGAGCTTCTCATCTGCCTTAACTTAAACATCTATGCAAAGTTTGAACATCCAGCTCCATGCAGTGGTGGAAATTAACTAAGTACATTTACTCAAGCACCATACTTAAGTACAATTTTCAGGTTCTTAAAGGGGCAAAAAGTGAAATCGTTTCAGCGCTAGGTTTGCTGTTGTGCACTGCCTGTAGACCAAAACAAAGTGTGTCATGAGCCACTCCTCCCTCTGCCTCTGCTCTCCACCCCCCACCCCCAAGTGGAGGCTGCGGAGGAAACACCGGGATGGGTTAATGTCTGGAGCTTAAGCAGCCCACCACGCTGCCCACCAGGCTCGCGGGCTGCCTGCTAGGCTAAAACATCGCTCTCACTCACGGAGAAGAGGAGGAACGTTGTTAGTGCTAGCCGAGTCGGCTGTCACCGGCTACTGGAGTAACTTACAGCTATGGAGCGCTTCTATCAGCTCTTCTAGTCACTGATCCTCGCCTCCATCTCAGCAAATATATTACAAAAATGTAGCCTCACGGGGAGGCTACATTTTATAATGCTAATTGAAAATGTTAGCTGGGCTGCCGGGCTAACTTACTCACTTAACACAACTGTAACGCCTGACCCATTGCTGGGACCGAGCCACTAATAACTCAAGCTCCAGACATTAACCCATCCCGGTGTTTCCTCCGCAGCCTCCACTTCACCCAGCTTCAGTCAGCTGCCCGATAAACCCGCTGCTTCTTCCCACATTAACCTGAATAACAAACCAGGGCTCGGTGCTCTGGTTGGATCCAAACAGAGAGACGGGGCTAGTTGGGAAGCTAGCGGCTGTGGTTGTGTTTCCCTCCGGTCATGCTGCGGCTAATGCCTCGCCAGCCGCTCCCAGCTAGCTCCGGATTATTATTGAGGTTAAAGTGGGAGAGGCAGCGGATCTGTGGGGCAGCTGAGTGAAGTGGAGCCTGAGGAGGAAGCACCAGTTAGCCCCAGTTTCGTTTCACTCTCTGCCATTTCATTTCGAAAATATGCGCTGCCATTGCTCGCTGGCTGTAGCCTTTTATAGGGAGGGAGGGCCAAGGGCCAAGTGCGCAGCCGGACCGGCTTGTAAACAATGGGCTGGAGATCAACACAGAGAGAGGGTGTGTGAGGTCATGCTATACTCCGGATGAAATTACACCTCTAGTTCTTCACATAGCATTTTTTTAATTCCTTCAATCTAGAAATGATGAATTTTGCTTATTGCTCCTTTAATGATGATATTAATAATAATGCATTTTATTTATAGGCGCCTGTCAAAGCACTCAAGGACACCTGTACTCGTGACTACTGTCTATATGTCCAATTGCCCCTCAGGGACATTTAAGTTTACCTTGCCCAAACACAGACCTGATATTGGACAACATCAACATAATATTGCCCAGCAATCATCATTACATATCTGTATATCTTCATTTGGTATGCATTTTTAATTTCTTCTAGTTATTTTGGATCAGTAGAACCCAGTAAGTATGAGAAACTAAACCCTATCAAAGATAATTAAGTCCCAGTGCCCTCAAACAAGATGATAATCAAGTCCCAATGTCTTCAAATGAGTACTTCCTATTTTACAGCATCTTAGCTTGTAACTGTTGCTAAAATTGGTCAAATTTGTTGCCATATCAAACTACAAACATTATTAATCATAAAGTTTCAACCATAAAATGCGATCAGGTTTTAGTCCTTGTCCACTTTTGTGTCAGGATCAGCTGCAAACTGACTTGGCAGAGATGGCTGATCTTGTTTTTACATGGATTAGTGTAATGAGCAAATTATCCTTCCACATGTTCAACGACAGAAAGCTTGTTATTACTTTTACTTCTCTAAATAGTCAAGTCTGATCGTCTTCTCCGTGCTCCACCAGGGCCTCTAGATGGGTCAAAAAAGTGTCCACAAACGAGGACAACAAGTCTAAGTTAAGTGGAATGAAGTATAAGGTCAAGTAAACCCAACATGTGATGTCCTCATATGAGGACACAGGGTATCAGGAAGATATGAACAAAACTAGAAAAGAAAGTAGGAAATTATTAGTTTAACTAAATATTTTTATATTCAATATTATATTGTTTTTATAGTTTATGTAGAAAAAACATATAATTTTGTAAGAGACAGATACTAATTTACAAAAGCATCAAACCATGACAGGAATGGGCTTGCCTTTTTGAGAGCATATATGGAAAAACACACTATTTTAATTCAATGGAAGTTCTTTTAACAAATATTTCTAGGTGGCAATTATGCCCCATCCAACTCAGGGGCCCCAGCGCAACCTGCACTGTGTATATGTACGCCCTTGAGGTAAATAAAAGATCTGAGTACTTCTTGCACCCTTGGCTCCATGGCAACTGAGCAAACTCAATCTGCTATTGGATACTGTGCGATACAGTTGTCAGCTTTTAAACCAGCTGGTTGAAATCGTTTCCAAGTTCACAAAATAAATTGTCAGCTTTTACAGACTATTTCTTTAATCTCCTGCCTACAGATTTAGATCAAATTAAACATTTATCTGACGTTTTACAGTGGTCCTCCTATTTGAATTCCTGTATTTCCGACAGCACTTGAAGGCAGCAGTGGAAAAGAGAACGCCCACCTCGTGCCAACCTTTGACCAACCAGCGGAGGAGAATCAGCTGATTCTGTCACATGACCTTCGTTAACATGCATCTAGCAGCCTAGCATAACAGGTCAGGAGAGAGCTGGAGCTGGGAGTGTAAATAGTCCCCAGTTTTAGGGGGAAGCAGCACAAAGAAATGAGTAAGTAACTTTGTTGAGTACTCGCTAACCTGTAAACGCTTTGTGCGCGTGCCTGTTAGCTGTTACGGAAGTTAGCTAACTTAATGTTTCAGCTACAGACAGTCAGCAGGATTTAAGCTAATGCTAACGCTAAGGAGTGACATAAAGGTAGCTGTCAAATCTGAGAGGAGGCGAACAATGAAACTGGGAACAGGGAGACATTTAAAGGCGTATTTAATCAGACTGAAGCAGCTCGGTTTACAGTTGTTTTAATTTGTTTGTTAACTTGCGTGGTTTGTTTGCTCAGACATTTAAAGGCACAGATGAGATATTAGAAACTGAATGACATTTCACTTCTTAGGTAACGTTACTCATCTTGCCTCTGAGTGACGTAAGTTGTTATTCAAGTGAATATGCATGAATAATAGGTTGTTATCAAACAAGTTTAATTAATTATTTTTGGTAGTTGTGTAACAAATTTCCGCAGCAAACTCATGATAACAGATGATGAAACTGAAAGTACTTGAAATAAATTATTGGGAATGATTATAGATTATATACAGTACAGGCCAAAAGTTTGGACACACCTTCTCATTCAATGCGTTTTCTTTGTTTTCATGACTATTTACATTGTAGATTCTCACTGAAGGCATCAAAACTATGAATGAACACATGTGGAGTTATGTACTTAACAAAAAAAGGTGAAATAACTGAAAACATGTTTTATATTCTAGTTTCTTCAAAATAGCCACCCTTTGCTCTGATTACTGCTTTGCACACTCTTGGCATTCTCTCCATGAGCTTCAAGAGGTAGTCACCTGAAATGGTTTCCACTTCACAGGTGTGCCTTATCAGGGTTAATTAGTGGAATTTCTTGCTTTATCAATGGGGTTGGGACCATCAGTTGTGTTGTGCAGAAGTCAGGTTAATACACAGCCGACAGCCCTATTGGACAACTGTTAAAATTCATATTATGGCAAGAACCAATCAGCTAACTAAAGAAAAACGAGTGGCCATCATTACTTTAAGAAATGAAGGTCAGTCAGTCCGGAAAATTGCAAAAACTTTAAATGTGTCCCCAAGTGGAGTCGCAAAAACCATCAAGCGCTACAACGAAACTGGCACACATGAGGACCGACCCAGGAAAGGAAGACCAAGAGTCACCTCTGCTTCTGAGGATAAGTTCATCCGAGTCACCAGCCTCAGAAATTGCAAGTTAACAGCAGCTCAGATCAGAGACCAGATGAATGCCACACAGAGTTCTAGCAGCAGACCCATCTCTAGAACAACTGTTAAGAGGAGACTGCGCCAATCAGGCCTTCATGGTCAAATAGCTGCTAGGAAACCACTGCCAAGGAGAGGCAACAAGCAGAAGAGATTTGTTTGGGCCAAGAAACACAAGGAATGGACATTAGACCAGTGGAAATCTGTGCTTTGGTCTGATGAGTCCAAATTTGAGATCTTTGGTTCCAACCGCCGTGTCTTTGTGAGACGCAGAAAAGGTGAACGGATGGATTCCACATGCCTGGTTCCCACTGTGAAGCATGGAGGAGGAGGTGTGATGGTGTGGGGGTGTTTTGCTGGTGACACTGTTGGGGATTTATTCAAAATTGAAGGCACACTGAACCAGCATGGCTACCACAGCATCCTGCAGCGACATGCCATCCCATCCGGTTTGCGTTTAGTTGGACCATTATTTATTTTTCAACAGGACAATGACCCCAAACACACCTCCAGGCTGTGTAAGGGCTATTTGACCAAGAAGGAGAGTGATGGAGTGCTGCGGCAGATGACCTGGCCTCCACAGTCACCGGACCTGAACCCAATCTAGATGGTTTGGGGTGAGCTGGACCGCAGAGTGAAGGCAAAGGGGCCAACAAGTGCTAAACACCTCTGGGAACTCCTTCAAGACTGTTGGAAAACCATTTCAGGTGACTACCTCTTGAAGCTCATGGAGAGAATGCCAAGAGTGTGCAAAGCAGTAATCAGAGCAAAGGGTGGCTATTTTGAAGAAACTAGAATATAAAACATGTTTTCAGTTATTTCACCTTTTTTTGTTAAGTACATAACTCCACATGTGTTCATTCATAGTTTTGATGCCTTCAGTGAGAATCTACAATGTAAATAGTCATGAAAATAAAGAAAACGCATTGAATGAGAAGGTGTGTCCAAACTTTTGGCCTGTACTGTATAATCCTGTAAACCATAACTTGTGCCAGTGCAAAAAATAAAATGAATAAATGAATGAAAAAAAAAATCTATTGCAGTACAAACTGCAGGAATTCTCAAATCACACTTCAGGATATACTCTGTTGTTGACTTATGAGGGAGTATGAGAAAATGAATATAAAACAAATCCAAATCTGATTTTTATGCTTCAAGAGAGTTAAAAGAATTGCAAACACAGCTGCTTATCAGGAACCAACTAACCCACTGTGTATTACATGAAAGACTCTACAAATTTTAAAATGGCACATTGATCATGTGTTAAGGGTTAGGGTCAAATTTCTACCTGTAAGTATCTAAAAGTTGTTTAAAACGAGAGGAGAAATATGAACATTTAAGAAACAAAGGGTCAGGACTAGAGCTTAAAAAAAATCAAGTAAATTTGAATAAAAAATAGATTGTAACTCCAGCCTTCACCTTTCTGTTATGTTGCAAGAATATATTATTTTTCCTTTTTATTGTCTTTTATCTCAACTTGATTGTGTTATTATTTACAGACTGAAATAAAGTTAATTGACCAAGTTATTTTTTGAGTATATTGGCCTTACAATCACCATATTCTGTTTGTTTCAAATAACATACATTTCTTTGTTTGCTGCTATTGTTTTTATTTCCTCATTTGAATGAACTGTTTTTATTGATTGTTTTTGTTGTTTGATCTTTTTGAACAAAATGTTCATTCATTCATTCATTCATTCATTTTCCGTAGTTGTTAGGGTTCATGAGGGGGCTGGAGCCTATCCCAGCTGACACTGGGTGAGAGGCAGGGTTCACCCTGGACAGGTCACCAGACTATCACAGGGCTGACACATAGAGACAGACAACCATTCACACTCACATTCACACCTACGGACAATTTAGAGTCACCAATTAACCTGCATGTCTTTGGACTGTGGGAGGAAGCTGGAGCACCTGGAGGAAACCCACGCTGACACAGGGAGAACATGCAAACTCCACACAGAAGGATTTTGACAAATTCACAATTAAATCAGAACAGCACCTCATCACGTTGTTAATCTAAAATAGGTAATTACACGAGCCAGTAGATTTAAAAACATGTCTGTCTTTACAGAGAAGTAGAGTACACTTTCATTAACCTGTCTTGTCATTGATGTATGGTGAGTTGTGTTGATTTGAGCCAAGCTTTTTGGCTTTATTGCCTGTTTTACTTCCCTGTTTTTATGTATTGCACCATGACCCCAGGGGCACTATATTTCATTCCTTCTCTTTGCATAATCTGTGAGGAGAGAATGACCGTAAACCTAAACTTCTGTCAAACCCAGACTGATTTTTCTCTGTTTCAGGTGGAGAAAGCTCAAGCGTCCTCCTTGGCTATATGGAAGAAAAGGTGTGTGTCCAGTTGTGACAGCTGAGCAGAGGAGTGTCACAGTGAAAGTGGCCATGCATCCCTTCGGCTGTGAGGCTGAGACCTCCCTTCGGGACCTGTTTGAGTACTTCAAGAGGTGCCTGCAGCATGGAGAGTGGGAGCTTGCCAGTGCCTGTGTGCCACAGCTAGTTAACTCGACGGGAGGACTTTCAGAAAAGCTACGAGACATAATCAAAGCTATTGTCTGCCATCCTTACAGTTTGAAGTGAGTGACACAGCTGTATGTTCACAAGACACTAGTTTTCATTATGTGTAGAAATGTAATGCAGTCTTTTCTTTAGTTCTGCAAAATTCTCATCCCAAAACCTAACCCTGATATTTTTGTGATATTAATGCTGTGGTTTTAATGACTGTGTTCACGTTGCAGATGGCAGTCTGTGGGCAGTCCACACAAACTGGCTTGGTTTTGGCTTCAGGTTTTGGAGAAATGGACAGAAGAGCAGGTAACACTACGAGGAATCAAGTACTGCAGCTTTCTCTGTTGGACTTGTTTAGTCATGTTTAGTTGTGTCATCCTCAGTCTGTCAGTATTTGAATCTGTCTCTGTTTGTGTTATGTAATGTCGGCCTTACACAAAGAACTCTTTGAGCAATTTCACTGTCGCAGGCCAATTTCCACGGTTGGAATAAAATCATGAGAGTTTTGCCAGAGTTGTGGCTCCCCAAATCTTGGTGTAAGGTCATAAACTCTCTCCGGCATCAAAAGCAGTAAACTGGCTAGGCTGGGAACCAGGTCCAGCCCTCATGATGATTTATTATTTACTGTTAGCCTGAAACTTTGACCATCACAAGTTGATAACCAGCACCCCCAGCTCAAGGCCGTTTGGTCTCAGGGGGCCTGAAACCCTTTTTTGGCACATGTTTCTGGTGATATGATGTAGATGCAAATATTAGGGTACTACGATGCCATAAATAGTCATACAAGTAAGAATTTTGGCGAGGAGTATCCTGACTCAAAGGGGGAAGTAGCAAAATAAGATTCTGTGGCTTGCTGCCATTTTATTTCAAAATATCACACACAACATCCACAAAAAACATAAAAAAAGACTGTTTGACAAATTCTCATAAAAAAATATTATTTTTCATCACTTAATGTTTAATATCACTGCTTCACTTGTACATAGAAAACTTCCCAAGTTGATAAGCTTCAGTTTTAGCCCAAGTTGACCTTTCTATCTTGAAAATTACACTTGCTTTGGCCTAAATTTGTCACTATACACAGTAAATATGGAGGAGACAGGGAGGCACAAGAATGTGAACAAGTCTCAGTTGTCTTGTTCTGTGGAAAAGGAGGAGAAACTGGTGGCATTGAGGAGTGAGCAGGAATTGGTGTTAGATTCTGCATGTGTCTGATCCATCAACCAGCACTTATTTGAGTGAGACATCATTTGAAACAGTTGGCCTCTCATGCTCACAGACTCCTCCCACTGAAAAAACACAGCTAACCAATGGAGGCTGGTAACAAGCTGAGGCGACGAAATGTATTTATTTAACCAGGAAGTCCCATTGAGATTGAAAATCTCTTTTACAAGAGAGAGCTGGCCGAGGTAGCAGCCAATCAGAACACATTTAAAATGTCTCCCTAAGTTATCTTATAAATTACTGTATACATGTTTGTCAGAATGAAATTGTAAGCAAAACGTCATGGTGGAAAGCATGAAATCAAATAAAGATAAAACAAAAAGATAACTACTCCTGTTCACTGTCCACTTCAGGTTCCTCCCAGCGTAAGAAGAGAGCTGGAGTTCCTGCTGCTCCTGGAGGAGCTGGGCTCAGAGAGCATACCAGAGACTGTTCTTAAGGTTACTATCATTGTGTAACTGTCTACTGTTGATAATGATGCAGTAAAGACTAAATAAGAAAGTGTTTTTACCTTTTAATTAGATTAAGACATCATTAAATTTTTGTTCACACAGGCTGAGTGTACTGAGATGACCTTGATTTGTTTTGCTTTATATGCTGTGACTACAGACTAAGATAAGTTATCTTCCAGCAGGAGTTGCATCAGGCCTTCTTGGACACACAGTCTGAACAAAAGGCACCCGAGGGTTCAAGGACAACAGATGCTGCTGTTGAGTCCTGTCTGCGAACTTTATTGGAGAAAAAGAAGCCCAGACTCGCCCAGTCGTTAGCACATTTCTTACAGGTACAGTCAGACATATTATCAGTATAAAGCAGGGCTGTCAAACTCATTTCAGTTCAGGGGTCATATACAACCCAGTTTGATCTCCAGATAACCGGACCAGGAAAACCATTACAAATAACCTATAAATGACAACCCCTTCAGATGTTTCCCTTAGTTAGTGTAAAGAAGTACATTGTTAAAACATTTATCCATTTACAAAATTCGGTTTTGCCACATTTAGTCTACTCCTCATTTTCAATACATGTGACTTTTTTCATTATTTTCCACTTGAGTGGAATCTGTAGAAGACGCAGGTTAAGTCATCAGCAGCAGGGTTCCACTAATATTGTTTTAAGATAAAAGTCTGATACAGATTCTATGACCATAGTAAGTATTCATTGTTATTTCAGAGAGCTGTATTCAGGTCGGGGTGGAAAAAACTCTTAGGCAGCATTTTACATGAAGTACCTGCTCACTGTTTAAACCTGACACCTCTTAGCCTTCACAAGTGCATCAATATCAGTTGTGCAAAGTCATCCAATGGGCCATATTGGGCCCTTTGGTGGGCCAGCTCTGGCCCCTTGGCCGTATGTTTCACACCCCTGGTATAAAGCAACACAAAATGATTAAAAACTATATAAAGTACAATACATAAAAATCTTGTTTATGTACATGTGTGTCTGTAAACGTTTAAAACTGAAGGCTATGGATGTCAGAAAATACAGACAATACATAAATATATAACTTGTTTTGGGTGCTATGATTTGAAATGGTTAAAACATGTTAAAGGGACATTTCACCCCGAAATCAAAAATACACATTTTCCTCTAACCTTTAGTGCTAATTATTTGTCAAGGTAGATTTGGTGTGAGTTGCAGAGTGTTGGAGATATCAGCCGTGGAGATGTCTGCCTTTCCTTCTTCACTGTATCAACATCGCAGAAGGATGTGTGCATCTACTCATGGACAAGAGGCTCATGCTCATGACAGTTTGAGATGAAAACATTACTGTTGTCCTCCTCAGCTGAGCTGTAACGTTAGCTAGCTCTGTGGTGCTAGGTGAGGTAGCAGTAGATGCACACTTCCTTCTGCGTGGTGATGTGGTTGGTGGGTGTAGTTTGGTAGAAAAGAAATAGTTCCTACATGAAACTGCTCACAACAAGGTCTGTGGATTATCTTGAGTAACTAGGTCATGATTTCTGGAAAGAGACACTGCTGTTGTTGAGTTGAGTTGTATAGTTAAACAAACAAACATTTTAGTGTTTAGATTTTGCTCCTTTGCAAACACCATCATGCTCTATTTTCCTCATTTCCTCCTCCAGGACCAGTCATGCCCAGACGACCACACACTGCAGCACACGTTCATCCAACACCTGATGAAGCAACTCGGAAAACCAGAGAAAAGGCCGGAGAAGTTAGAGGGGTGGGTTGAGGACATATACGCCGTGTTGTCTGTGATGCCATGGAGCTCTGGTAGAAGCGGCGGGCAGCTGGATGCGCTGTGTGAGGCACTGTGGGCGGCCAGAGACGGGCCCCTGAAGGAGGAGAGGATCCTGAGCTCGCTGCTCCGCCCTCGCTGTGACGCTCTCGTCTCTGTTTACTGTTCCACAGCTTTGAGACTTCAGAGGGATCATCTGCTGAGGAGTGCGCCGGATACACAAGGTAGTCTGAGTGAGTGCAGCTCTGATAATGAGAGGCTCATTTGCTGAGTCTGGTTTTAAACCAACTGTGGTGCCATGTAGACCTCTCACTCCTTCAGTTCATCACGAAATGTTGAGCATTGTTTGATGTTTATAACTCTGTTTGGATCATCAGGATTTGTCCAATACTCAAACTACAATGCAGATTATAGTATAAAGTATAGTTATAAAGTGATGTGGCCTTTAAGCTAACATCATGTTAATTTGTGAAACAGCTGTACGTTCCTATAAATCAGTTCCTTCTCTGATTTTTTTTTTTTAGTGGTCAGGTTGTTTTTTCTTTTATATTAATGATACAGCTAACCTGAGGTTTGGCTTTCAGCTTTATAGAGCAAACATTGTCATCACCTCTTTCCTCTGTTAATCACACTTCTGCTTCTGTGGCTGCGAACGGTCGGCAGTTTGTACTCAGTGACATGAAAACTTGACATGTGACAGCTTTTCTTGCTCTTCTGCAATTTTGTTTGCATCTGCATAGATTTTCTTTCCTTTTCTAAAGATCTGTTAGCCCGATTTAGAGTTCATGTTTGCTGTTAATGTGGCATTATTAACCATTTCATTGTTTTTCTGTTGCTAGGCAACAGCTTTTGTCCCTGTTTACTTCCTATCAGCTACTGCATGAAGAAACATTTCAACAGGAAATACACATAGACCCGTTTAGAGTTTGTATGTTCTCAAGTTTGAAACAGTCCATACCAATAGTTGTGATTAATGGGTGGTTTATGGTTTAACATATAAATACAGTAGTGGTGGCACTAATTCTTGTTCCAACTTGGTGTATTTTACTATAACACACACTCTAAGCCAGGGCTCAACGCCAGCTTTTAAAAGCATTTGCCAGACTGGTAACCAGTCATAATCTTTTGGTTGCTGAAACTGAAATCTTAGTTGGCATTTTTAGTCACTTTATATTTTGAGTAATTTGGATACTATGCAGTTAAACGTCGGCTTAAAAATTAAAATGTAACATAAAAATGGTTTAAAGCTTTAGTACAGTACAGTTTAGTACAGTTTCATCAGCACTATGCTGGAGGGGTTGTGGCCACCAAAGGGACCTCTCACATATAATGTGGGCCTGTCCAAAATTGCAAGAGTACTGGGACAATGTTAAAAGGATAATAGAGCAAATTTTGGATATAAAAATAAAACATGACCCAAAGTTATTTATTTTGGGCATCCCTTCAGGACTCCAAATGGGGAAAAAGAAAACATATTTACTGAGGACCCTGCTTTTAATAGCCAAAAAAACTATTACGGTATTATGGTTGCAGCCACAACCCCCCAACATAAAACAATGGCAACAAAAGGTGAATTAGGTATATATTATGGAAAAGATTACAGCTAAAATTCAGCTGAAAACTGACTTTTTTTTATGGAAATATGGTCACCTTGGATGTCAATGCAGAGCTCAAGATTTTTATTAATTTGATGGCATTTGCCACCAAAACTCTGTTCACTACCAATAATAGGAATGAAAAGAAGGAAAAGGATGGAAGAGAAAAGAGAAAAAAATATATATATAATATGTGGTGTTGAACCATGTCGTTTTTGTGTTGCTTCTTTTTTCTTTTTTTTTTCTCTGTTTTTCTTTCTTGCACAGCTAAACGAAGTGCTATGCTACTAATTTAAAATTTTATGGCAGTAATGCTATCAGTGTAAAATATTACTTTTGAGCCCTGTAACTAAAGTAAGGGAAGGAAGAGAGGGAAAGAAAAGGAAAAAAGGAAGAGAAGAAGGAGGAAAAAGGAAAAAAAAAAAGAAAAAAAAAGAAATTGTACGAAAAACATAAAATGGTTATATCTTTGTCGCTTGCACACTTACTGTATATTTAGTTGTTGTTTTTTTTCTTTTCGCCTTTTGTTTGTGTGTTTGGTTTTTTTTAGTACTGGGTATTTGATTTATTGTATCGTTGTTTTTTTCTTTACTTAAATTCATACAAAGTTAAAGAGAAATGCGAAATGCTTATTTGTGAAAAGATGAAGGTATGAATTGCACAGCATAAATAAAAAGTTAAAAAAAAAAAAGCTTTAGTACAGTAACTAAACAAAATTCTTTGTTGTTTGTGATCTAGCAGACGAAATAAGTATCTCCCAGTTGGTGGCATTAATCTTGCAAATGGAGATTTTGATCACTTGTCTAATGGTGTGCCCGTGCCTGCAGCCTCCAACTCATTAAGTCTTTGAGCTGCCCACTTGCGCTGCTTCATGCTCTAATGCTTTTCACGTTAAGTGGTTCTGTAGGATGTGCTGCCATGAGCTAGTGAATTTGATGTGTAATTTATCGAGGTGTATGTTGTTCATGCTCAGCAGGATAATTGTCCGTCCAGTTCACAGATGCGGGGACACTGCGCCTTGCAAGAATATTTTGTTCAGGTTTATCTGGTTCTTTGTCAGTTGGACCAATTTGCACATTTGTTTGGCATTGTGACAATTAGTCAAACTTTTTACCCAGAAGTCAAAAAAACTTAATTTGCTGTGCTGTTGTCTCAAGAAAAGATGCCTCACTAACGAATGTGCAGCATTGTGTAGTTTCAGTTCTGACTGTAACAGCAATGTTTAAATGCAATGCTTCACTAATGCAACAGATATTAAAAATGTATTTGTTTTTGGGCACCCAGTGGGTTAGTGGGTAGAGCAGACATCCCATATATGAAAGCATTGTCCTTGCCGCAGCGGCTGTGGGTTTGTTTCCAGCCTGCGGCCCCTTATTGCCTGTCATCTACACTCTCTCTTCCCCCCTCACGCTTAGACTGTCCTATCTATTAAAGGCAAAAAGCAAAAAAAAAATCTTAAAAAAACTTATATGTATTTGTTTTGGGATGCACATTTTGCTGTTTGCTGTCACTGTTGTTTATATGTTAAAAAGTTGTTGCCACTAATGGCAACCAAAGACCAAGAATTGGTTGGCAAATACTCAATATGGTTGCCAATGGCAACCTGGCAACCATTACTGTTGAGCCCTGCAGCTTATATCAAGGAACAATGTCAAAAGGAATGAGACACACAATCCTATGTTGGACAGTGGTGGTTTTTCAGGTTAGAGCATTCATTTGTCATTTTGCAACACAGGTTTGCACGATGACATGTGAGTTGACACAACAGCTAAGTAGCAGCAGAGTCCTGGGTCATCCGGATGACACCACCGCTTTCTCCATGACACGCCTCTGGGGAAACGTATACCATTATATAGAGAAATGGGGTTGTGGCAGTGTCCTGATTGTAACCAGCGGGCATGCGTCTGTCAGTTTAGAATGATTCTGATTCACTAACATGCTCATGTTGGTGGGAATAAAATTGGCGCACTTGTCATTAACCCAATTATAAAAACATAAACACATTTCTGTGCACATATTAGTGAATGAGACACAATAAGAGAGAGAAAAAGAGTTTTTTAAATTTAATTTTATGGGTCAAGGTGCAGCCTGAACAGATGAGTTTTCAGTGTTGGCAGAAGATGTGCAGATTTTTTGCTGTATACTGATGTTGCCAGGAGTTCACTCCATCATTGTGGAGTCAGGACAGCAAATTTATCAGCCTGTTTTCACTACTTATATTTATTCTCCTCGTAGCTGATCTTCCTGAAGCAGAGAAGCTGGCCCTCAGTTTATGTTGCCACAGGGATCGTCCATCCATTTGGAAGACCATTTATTTTGAGTGCCTTAGTAGTGGAAAGCACTTCCTTGAGCAGGTCTTGGTAAGTAAACCATTTCTGTAACCAGATTTAAATTCCTACAAGAACTAATAGAGTGAACACAGTCCTATATCAGTGGTGTAATGACGCTGTATTTTTCATAATTAGTGCTGGGTTTTAACAGTTAAGTAAATTTGGTTAGTAACCACATGTGATAAAACTCAATAATGTAATAAGATTGGTTCCTTCCTGTAGGTCACAGCACTCGACCTGATTAAACATGAGGAGTTTACTCAGCTCAAAGACTTACTGAAGTTGGAGTTTCAGCCTTTGTCTCGGCTGCTGTTGCTTCTCGGCTGGACTCAGTGTCGCAGTCTGAACTCGGCTCAAACGCTGCTCAGCATCCTTCACCAAGAACAGGTCAGAACTGAAGTCATCCAGCGCTCCAGACATCTGCATGTACCTCCTCCTCTGCAGTTTTATAGCTGATAAAATCTTTACCTTCTCTTCAGGGACCAGCCAATGACTCTGTTCTGCAGGAGTTTGCCAATCTCTTGTCCTCTCAGCTTGGAATACTTGAATGGTGTAAAAACAACAATCCGTAAGCATCTGTTTTTGCTTTATGAAGTTTGACTCTCATTTAAATCATTATTTTTAATATCTACTTCTTTCCTTGCGGTTTCTATGCAGAGGGATTTCCATGGAGGCACTGCTGGCACAGCTTCACACTCTGGACAATCACTCTGCCCTCTATATTCTGCATTCTCTGACTCCTTTGGCTCAGTTTGAGGAGCGCAAGATACTGACTCTGCTGCAGCAACTGCCAGATTCACCAGGAACAGGTCGGCATCTTCATTAGTCTGTCTGTTCTTATTTTTCTCTGAGAGTCTCAAAGAAATACTTCACCTGCACAATGATTATTTGTACATCAATTACTCACCATGTATTACATTGAATTCATGAAGAAGACTGTGTTGTTCTCACATTCCTCCAAAGCAAATGGAGAATCCAAACAAGGCGAGCTTTCTTTATGAATTGAAGTAAAAGGGGTCTATGTTGAACAACAGCAAAACTATATAAAAAATCTGTTTACAAACTCTTAACACAACTTGTGCAGTATAATCCAAGTTTCGTTCATCCAGTCGTATGCTCAGGACTTCACAAACACATGCATTTTTCGCTAAAATGTTAAATTTAAAATGGGTCAGTACAAACATGCAACTCATGCACAGTGGAGTGGCTCATTTGTGGATGCCCAGGCACTCTCAGGGCACGCTACTCGGAGCTGGAAGTCTTTTATCTTAATGTTTTGGTGAAAAATCCATGTGTTTGTCAAGTATGAGCGTGCAACTTGATAAATGTGACTTTTATTATACTGCAGGAGTTGTGTGAGAGTTTGTAAATAGATGTTTTAACATCGTTTTGCTGTTTTCAAATATGAATCCCTACGATTTCAATTCATTAAGAATGTTTGCCTTTTTTGGATTCTTCGTTCACCGTGGAAGCATGTGAGAAAAACCAAATTCTCTTAACAAATTCAACATAACTGTCACTGAATAATTGACATGTAAATAGTTGTTTTGCAGGTGAAGTATTCCTTTAAATCATCTTTGGGTTACTAATGTACATTTCTTTCCCCCTGCAGAAGATACTGAGGCCGTCAGTAGTCTCAGTTCTAGCGTGCAGAGGAACATTGTTTTGTTCCAGGGCTTCTGTGCCATGAAGTACGCCATCTACGCTCTCTGTGTAAATGCACATAAATACTCAAACTGCACCGAGTGTGAGTCCACGGAGCAGCAGCAGCAGCAGCAACAGCCATCTGAAGCAGAAACGGACCATAATCAAACCTCAGCTTCCTCAGAAGGTACGAAGGCTGTTTTTCTTTTCCGCAGTGAAGTTTTATTTTGATTACAGATAATAGAAAAGTTTCCTGTCAGCTCATTTTAGCTGATTATAATCTCACATGCAAAAACAATATGGGTAAGCTGTTTAAATGTATGAAATTTGTAGTTGGTTTTGGTGGTTATATTGGTAGTTTATTATTTTTATTTATTAATTACTGAAGATTCACGTCAAGATGAGTTGAAACAAGCAACTACTTGCAATGTGCTGTACTGCAGTGTCCTAAACCTGCTGGTTCACACCAATGCAACAAGATGAGATGGTGTATCATCTCTATGCAACAACTCTCTGTACTTCTGTCATCATCATGTCTATCCTTTGTATCTTAAAAAATATTACTAACATAGACAAACAAAACATCTCCAAATAAATGGACAACAAAATATGATGCTAAGAAACCCTGCAGGAAAAACTAATGACTGAGACATTCCATCGTTTGTAAATTTCATTAAACATCTCGTGATAGCTGAGACTTTCTTTTTCTGCCAACAGATCACAAGTCAATCGTTCACATGTCAGGAGACACAAAATCAGAGTTAATGGCAGTATCTACACTCAAATCAAAAGAGAGCTTTTCTTTCAAAGTTTTAATATTAACTTTTGATGTCTTGATTTTGCTTTTATTACAACAAAAATCCTTCATTATTTAAAGCTTGTTGTCTTAATTTACTGACCTTTTCTTGTACACTGTGGCTCTGAATGATGTTCTGACCTTGTTCCTCTTGGTTTGTTTGTGTTTCCCAGGTTGCCATTTGCAGTTCCAGCACTACCTGTCAGAGTGTCAGCTCTATCTGGAGGCCGTGCCCGCCATGTTCCGCCTGGAGCTCCTGGAGAACATCTTCTCCCTTCTCTTCCTGTCCACTGCTGACTTCACCCAGCAGAGCCAAAAAGACTCGAATCAGAACTCTCAGTCAGAATGTTTATCAGATACAAGAAACACAAGTGTAGAACTGGGAACCAAAGCAAAGAAAGATGAGACTGAGAACAGCCAGAAGCTGCGTTCAAGTTCACCAACAGCAGCCCACAGCAGCCACCTGGAGCTGGGACACTTCATCCAGGGCTGCAGGGGGTTTCTGGCCGATGTGACGGCCATGGCGGGTTTTCTAAAGCTCCTGAAAGAAGGGCTGGAGGGCATGTGTGTGGTGGGCCAGCAGGAGGGGCAGGAGGCGGGGAGAGCGCTGCCTCAAGAGGCCGAGGTGGCGGAGAGCCTCGGCTGCTCAGTGACGGCTGAGACGTTCGGGGCTCGCCTGCAGAGGTTGTCCAAACGCACTGCAGAGGCTCAGTGGAGGCTGCAGATCATCTCCAGCAACCAGAGCAGTGGAAGTGGTGAGATGGACAACATATCTGTTTAACTTAGTACATGTGTCTGTGTGTGCATGCTTGTGGCATTAGGGGTGGATGAATTCAGATATAATTCTGACATTTATTCTTTAATTTGTGATGGTAAATTCACTTGCAGGTTCAGAAAGTCCTGTCCAGATGTCAGGGGTCAGCTATCCTGTCGCTTCTGTGGGACGCAGCAAGAGCTCGAGCCTGAGGAGAAGGAAGAGACCAGGGAGACATGCGACAGAGAGACAGACCTCAGTGGAGAAACACAATGGAGAAGTTAGCACGAGTGCGTCAGGTAAGACTTATAAAACACCCAGTGATTTATTTTTTTGATTTGGTCGGTTCAAATCGTATTGAATCTGATCAAAGTTGTTGTTTCTCACCAATAAGATTCAGTTTTGTGTAATGAAGTAGAGATCATGAATAATTTTTATTTTGAAGTGAAAATTAAAAGAAACAGTGTGAGGAAAAAGTTTCCATGTGTTCATGTTTGCTTTGAGCTTCCGTGAGAAAAGATTTAGGCAAGGCAATTTTATTTATACAGCATGTTTCATACACAAAGGTAAAGTCACGGTGCTGGTTTAGATTGAAGATGAGTATTTTTAGTAGCAGAGAATTCAGTTTTTGAATGAAGTTTTGTGCTACATTCAAATGACCCCATTTTTTTTTATTATTTTTCTTTTTCTTTTATTTTATTATTATTTTATTTTATTTTTTTGTGCATATATGACCGTTTTTATTTGTCCTTTCACAGATGGTGGAGGAGGGACAGCAGCAGGTTGTGTAGAACTGGATGTTTGTCCATGCGGAGGTCCTCACAGCTGGCTGGTCCCGGCCATGTTGTCCCCTCCAGAGTCTCTGCTCATGTCCTGCATCCGCAAAGGGAACTTCATGGAGGCTCATCAGGTATGTGTGACAAACTGGGCTTAACAAGCTGCTTCTTTTTTTTTTTTTTTTTGCAGAAACTTTTTTTAACACTTTAAAAGTTAATGTTCCTCATTTTGATACTCCTAGTACAACTACTACTATTGCTACTACTAATATAATATTACTAACACTAATAACATTGTTTGTATGCTTACTGTCAATACCATTACTACACTGACTTCTAATTATGATTATAATAAACCTTTATTTAATGTGGTGTATTCTTTCCTCCTCGCAGGTGTCTCTGGTGTTCGATCTGGAGGCGTCTGCCTGTTGTGGTGAGCTGGTGTTCATGGAGCGCTACAAAGAGGTCCTGGTGGAGCTGGGACAGGTGGAGCAGAAGATGGAGAGCCAGTCTATGTCTTCATCCTCATCCTCCTCAGAGGGTTTGGGGACAGCAGCTGTGTCTGCCGCAGGGAGGTGTCGACTGGGGAGCAGCGGGCGATCAACCCTGCAGGCCATCGGAAGCGCTGCTGCTGCAGGTTTGACATCTTTTTGTGTTCAAGGTTTCTTTATTCTTGATACCCACCTCTCAGGACACATCTGTCACATCTGGCTCATTGGCTTCTCCCGTTTGATCCCTTGTTGTTTGCCTGCAGTGTGATTTGGGAAATCAGTTTAAGATTATTGTACTTTTGTTTTTATAGTAAAAATATACTTACATTTATTTGTATTGTGTGCCTTACTTTTTATCCATTTCACTGTTTTTATTATTTTCATCATCATTTTATCTGACGTGTGTGTGTGTGTTTCCCTGCAGGTGTGGCTTTCTACTCCATCTCAGACATCGCAGACCGTCTGCTCAGCACTCCCGCTCACCCGATGCCCTCACTGGAGGACAACTACTGGCTGAGCCGCTGCTCTTCAGACCCCTCTGGCCTCCTTTACACTCTGCTGGAGGAGCTCAGCCCAGCAGCCATGGCGGCCTTTGATCTGGCCTGCTGCCACTGTCAGCTCTGGAAGACTTCTCGACAGCTGCTGGACACTGCAGAGCGCAGGCTCAACAACAGTCTGGAGGCTCAAGGTGTGCAGCCTGAAATTTAGGGTCTTATTTGGAATGTTATTGATGTATTGTAGATGGTGCAGAACAGATTTATGAATCATGGACATTGAAGTGAGACCAACTACAATTTCATGTATTTATCTTTATTCCCTGTCTGCCTCTGCAGGAGTGAGAGTTGATGCTAAGGTTCCTCATGCTGAGGGGATCTGTGGATTTCCCATGGTGTTACAGCAGATCAGCAAGATCCTGAATCATTCTGCCACTAACAAGAGCTCTGTGAAAACAGGTGAGTAAAAATATTCAAACACTTTCATTAAGGGAATAAGAAAATGTGTATTTACAGTATCTCACATACGTGAGTACACCCCTCCCATTTTTTTAAATAAGTTATTATATCTTGTCATGGAACAACACTATAGAAATGACACTTTGATATAACTTAAAGTAGTCAGTGTACAGCTTGTATAGTAGTATAGATTTACCTTCCTCTGAAAATTACTCAAAACACAGCCATCAACATCTAAACAGCTGGCAACATAAGTGAGTACACCCCACAGTGAACATGTCCAAATTGTGCCTAAAGTGTCAATATTTTGTGTGCCAGCCATTATTATCTAGCACTGCCTTAACCCTTTTGGGCATGGAATTCACCAGAGCTCACAGGTTGCTTCAGGAATCCTCTCCCACTCCTCCATGATGACATCATGGAGCAGATGGATGTGAAGACACCTTGCGCTCCTCCACCTTCAGCTTGAGGATGCCCCACAGGTGCACAGGTGAGTTTAGGGCTGGATACATACTTGGCCAGTCCATCACCTTCAGCTTCAGCTTCCTCAGCAAGGCGGTTGTCATCTACTAGGTGTGTTTTGGGTCATTATCATGTTGGAAAACTGCATTGCGGCTCAGTTTCTGAAGAGGGGCGATCATGCTCTGCTTGGAATTCATGTTTCCCTAAATGAACCGAGCTCCCCAGAGCCGGCAGCACTCATGCAGCCCCAAACCATGATGCTGCCACCACTATACTTGACTGTAAGCAAGGGACAGTCTTGGTGCTCTTTCAGCATGTGTGGCACCTTGGTGAAGAGCACCAAGACAACTGTCCCTTGCCTACAGTCAAGTATAGTGGTGGCAGCATCATGGTTTGGGGCTGCATGAGTGCTGCCAGCTCTGGGGAGCTCGGTTCATTTAGGGAAACATGAATTCCAAGCAGAGCATGATCGCTCCTCTTCAGAAACTGAGCCGCAATGCAGTTTTCCAACATGATAATGACCCAAAACACACCTAGTAGATGACAACAGCCTTGCTGAGGAAGCTGAAGGTGAAGGTGATGGACTGGCCAAGTATGTATCCAGCCCTAAACTCACCTGTGCACCTGTGGGTCATCCTCAAGCTGAAGGTGGAGGAGCACAAGGTGTCTTCACATCCATCTGCTCCATGATGTCATCATGGAGGAGTGGGAGAGGATTCCTGAAGCAACCTGTGAGCTCTGGTGAATTCCATGCCCAAAAGGGTTAAGGCAGTGCTAGATAATAATGGTTGGCACACAAAATATTGACACTTTAGGCACAATTTGGACATGTTCACTGTGGGGTGTACTCACTTATGTTGCCAGCTGTTTAGATGTTGATGGCTGTGTTTTGAGTAATTTTCAGAGGAAGGTAAATCTATGCTACTATACAAGCTGTACACTGACTACTTTAAGTTATATCAAAGTGTCATTTCTATAGTGTTGTCCCATGACAAGATATAATAACATTTGCAAAAATGGGAGGGGTGTACTCACTTATGTGAGATACTGTACATGCCATTAACATGCCATTCGGCTGCTCCAGTGATGGAAACAGCCAGCCACACAATGACCTGCAGACCTTTCTGACCAGAGATTAAATATGAAAAATGAAGTGAATATACAGTATAGTTTCTTTGTTACACTCCACTCTTGTTCATAGAAGCTGTTGGGGAAGACCAAGTGTTTGCCAGCCCGTTTGGTTGCTGTATCCATGAATTGCTACTGTGTTGCCACCCGGCGCTGAGTGAAGAGTGCATCGCTGCTCGGCTCAGTCTGGTTCAACGTTTGGAGACCACCCTGCACATCCTGAGCACTGCTACAGATGGCACAGGTCAGCACGAGAACCATAGATGTTCAGATGCAATGAAGTCAAGATTAGGGGGTTTTCTGTCTTAACAGTTCAGGGGACTGCCTGAGAGGAACTACCCACTGGGGTGCTGCCCAAGAACTGCGTACCTTAAAGGGCTTTATTGCTGTTTGCACTGGCACTGCCAACAGGAATGCTAAAGTGATGTACTGAAAGTTGGCCGGCAGGTGGTATGGCTTCGTCACTTTCGCTTCGACGAGTCAAAAGAAGTCAAATTTGCGTTGTATTTCCACCATTGCATATATGCTCAGTGAAGCCTGGACTTGACTATAGCCCCGTTTCCACTAAACACTTTCAGTATGGTACCTTTGGAACCAAAAGTAGCCCTTCAGACGTGTGTTTACCAGGATTTGTGAAGATTGTTTTGACACTTTTTGTGTAATGTCAGATACAATTTGGATAACTTAAAAACACTAGAAGAAAGTTTGTTGCAGGTTTGAAGAACTGTGCCATAGTGTTTTAAGCATTCTATCATAAGATCTTAATGTTCAATATGACCTCTTGTTTTAACAGACGGCAGTGTGGGCAGCGTTCTTCTGGCACAGTTGGTTGAACAAGCCAGTCTGAAGCAGTCAGAGCTGGATGCTCACCCCGTCCGCTCCAGCATGAAGCAGCTGCTTCGTTCTCTCGACCAGCTCTGCCCCTTCGAGCCAGACGGAGATCTTGCCAGACCAGATTATGTGCGCAGTTTCCTCGACTATGTCAACACACTAGCGTCTGTGTTAGTGCGCAGCCTGAGTTCAGAAGGTAAATAATTTGTCCTTAAAGGAGAGTTGATGTGCTGATGTGTGTCCCTTTGTGAAAGGGTCACTGATCTAAAAACAGAAGTGTCAGTGTTTAGATTCTTCTGCTGTCTGTATTTGGCGGGGACAACTTTTAACAACAGCACTTTAAAAGTTTCATTAGTTTAAGAGCATAGTGATGTTTTATTAAATATTCTTGCTGCTTTCAGACTTCACTATCTCAGTCATAACATTCACTTCCCTGGCTTACATCACCCCAGTTGGTACTCTGAATCACATCAGTAGGCACTTGTTAATAAGCTCACTTTTTATACCAAACTGCAGCCATTCTATGTAAATACTGACCGTGCCAGACGCCATTGTTGATCCTTCTTTTCTTCTACATGATTTTGTTTTCATTTGCATCTCTCGCTGTTTCTCTTAGATCAGAGTAGTGAAGTGAAGCTTGGGAATCCACTGCTGGTGCTGCTTCAAGCCCCATTTCAGCTTCTCTCCCACCTGCTGTTTGACAGACAGGTGTCTCCTGACAGGTACGCACAGTCAGTGTGAACAATTTGCATGTTATGTTATTCCTGTTCCACAAGCTTACATAAACTGCAGTGAAAATATGTGCCTCACAGCTGGTATTCTGTAGGAAAGATCTTATACGGTTTATAATAATTCAGGTGAATAAACTGAAATTCAAACTGAAATCTGTCATATATTTTTTTAAAATCATTTTAATGGTTTCATTGATAGAGACATTTTTCAGAACTGCTGACTAGGTCACATCAGTGCTAGTTCACAATAACAGTAAAGGAAAATATATTCATTTGTGATCATTCCTCTTGATCAGTCTGGCACATTTCACTCTACCAAATAGCTTAAAGGGATAGTTTGGATTTTTTATGGTGGTTGTATAGGGTATTTAATTATATAGGCTACATCCACACTAATGCACTTTCTTCTTGAAACCCTTAACTACTGCTACGTTCCGCCTAGCGTGCACTCTACTTAAGAGTTTTGGAACCCCTAAAATGAAGACCTTTGAAAAGTGCTGCTGACTCCGTTTTACTTTGAGAATTCCAGGGTTGTGTTTTCGTCTGGATGGTCAGAAACGGAGACTTTTGAAAACGATGATAAAGACATTCCCGTTCCCTTCCAGTTTGTCTAATCAGGCACAGAGTGTCAAAACATGATAGCGAGGTCAACTTATCCTTCTTGTGTGGTTGCTCCTTTCCCATTGCCATGGCTTCCTCAGGTGATGGATAATGCTCTGGGTGTTGCTCTCATATGTTAAACTTTTGCTTTGTAATGTCTCCCAATATGTTTTCCACTGCCTTGACTGCAGTATACACATGTTTTACTTTCATTAACAGTTCACCTTGTTGTTGGTCCAAGCAAAGAAATCTCTCGTCTTCCTCTCGTTTTTTTTTGTTTGTTTGTTTAAATTCATTCATTCATTCATTTTCAGTAACCGCTTATCCTGTTGGGTGTCACGGGGGGGCTGGAGCCTATCCCAGCTGACACTGGGTGAGAGGCAGGGTACACCCTGGACTGGTCACCAGTCTATCACAGGACTGACACATAGAGACAGACAACCATTCACACTCACGGGTTAAATTACTGTTTTTGTTAAAGGAGTCTGGTAGCCTTGAAGAGAGCATAGATGGATATAACAGGCTCGGTTCCCCGTAGGAAAGGCCTGTCATGCTGTGATAATATCCAAAATAAAGCATACACTTAAACTGATATTTTTTTAAGTGTATATAATGTTTTCCTGCTGCCCCATCCACAGCAGGACATTGCTTAGCTTGCTTGTTGGTACTCCTGCCTGCTTCTCCAAACTGGGGGCGTCCCGACCACCATTTGCTATAGGTTATACACTGACTGTGGATAAGTACCTCATACAACCCCACTTCAAAAAAGCAGAAGTTTCCTTTTAATGATGGTGTTAAAGAGTGGAAATATAATAGAGGTGAAATGAGAAGATCAAACAGAGTGGTGTGAAGGCAACAGCTCACTTAACTAATTCATGTCCTGTTTCATCTGCAGAGTGCTGTCCCTGCTGCAGCAGGAAGGTCTGCAGCTCAGTGTGCAGCAGGTGATTGTCCAGCGATGCTGTGAGACTCTGCCTGTGTGGACTTCCTGTCCAGGTGATGACGAAGACTCCGGTCAGGCCAAGAAAGATGACGGAGTGTTCGGTGTTTCCAATTTGTCCGTCCTGCTCCAACAGCACGCTCAGGAGCACATGTCAACTCTGGGAATCACAGAGCCTCAGTCTGATGCGAGCTCTGAGTCCGAGGCCTCAGTGGACGACCCCTCCACTACACCCACCAACCTCTCCACCTCGCCACCATCTCAGTCATCCTCCTCCTCTTCTTCTTCCTCTTCCCCTTCGTCTTTTCTCCTCACACCATCAGCTCTGTCTTTCCTAAAGTCTCGCTCTCCTTTACTGGCCACACTGGCGTGTCTGAGCGCCTGCAAAGGAGAAACTGCTCGGACACAGTCCTCCGGATGGTCCGGCTATTTCCGCAGCAACCGTAAAGAAGTCGTCCTAGACGCAGAGCAGATTTCTCTGGAAGCAGATAACCTCCTGAAGGAGTTCCCTATTCTCCGGGCGTACATTCACACCATGGCTGAACCGTTACTGGACACCCTGTTACGTGAGGGCGAGGAAGGTTCAGCTGGACTCGGAGCGGTTGTTTGTGGGAAACCACTCGTCAGCCTCCTGCTGTCTGGGCCTCAAGAAGAAGCTGCCCAGGCTGTGGCTGCTGAGGCCTTCCAGAAGGCTCTGTCCTCCAGAGACCTGGGCCGAGCCCTCAGTCTGCTGGAGCTGTACGGGCAAGGCTGCAGCCAGGAGGGGGCGCTGAGAGACCGCCTGCTTGCCTGTGCTGCATTAGAAGGTGAGAAGTGATTGTAAAGGCATTTTAACAAAAGGAATCACACTGAAGCTCATGGGACAGCTTAGGTTACAGGTGGTGCTCCTTTTTAATATGACATCCAACCAAATAAATACTCAGGTGACATTATTTTTGGTCAAAAAAGTTTTGACACTTTCTTAACCTTAACCTAATATCTGCAGATTTACTCATTTTCTGTGTTTTATACAGGTTTTCTGTCAGAGATAAATTGATGCTGCTGCCTTTTTCTTCAGTGTCCTGAACAAATGTGAGAAATTCCAGCGTAAAAACAGTTAATAGGGAGGCTATATAAAGAATGACATCATCATGGCATATAGATTTATAGTATTTTTTGATGAAAATGGGCTACTGTTGCTTACACATTATATTCCAAGTAAGATCAGTCTGGTCAACAGGCTCATGTATAAGACTAAACCAATAAATACTACTCTAGCCTACGTACACTGGGGCAACAAAGAACTTCCTTCAGCTTTAGGCCCATATATTCTCAGATAAAAGTCAACGTCCCCAATAAAATGTCCTGAATATCTCTGTACGTTAATACATGCAGTAAATTGATCTTGGGTTTTTGGACAAAACTAGCAAATTGACATTGCAGTGTGTTATCTGAAAAATGTAATGTGCATTTTCACGAGGCGACTGTAGCTCAGAGTAGAGCAGGTCATCCACTAATCTGAAGATCAGGGGTTTGATTCCTGGCTCCTCCACTCTGCATGTCATACTAGTATCCTTTGGCTGGCAAGATACTGAACACCCCAAAGTGCTCCAGATGGCTGTGCAATCAGTGTGTAAGTGCTTGTGAATGGTTACTGAGTAGCAGATGGCACCGTGTACGGTAGCCTTGGCCACCAGTGTATGAATGTGTGTGTGACTGGGTGAATGTGATATGTAGTGTAAAAGCGCTTTTCACGATTATCACCTGAGAGATCTAAATCTTTTTTTCAATAGAGTCTTGGACAAAAGCTGCACCTAACGTGAAATGTACTGCTGTCCAGAGCAGCTGCAAGTCCATACTTTTTCTGTGTCCCTTGTATTTTTGAATTTATTGAGCAGATTATATATATTTTTTTTTACTTTTCTGCACATGAGAATCTCCTCTCGTTTTTCTTTTTGCTATCACTTATCATTTTGGAAACCTTCTTTCAGTGTTTTTTATGTGAATTACTCTATAAAGCAAAAGCAGTAGTTGCTTTGCAGTTGATCTGAATATAATTAAAATGTTGTTTGTCTTGTTTTTTAATGTTCAGATGGAGATGAAGGAATCGGTCAGCTGTTTCGTGTACAGGATGCTAACCTGCGAGCGCGCGTTGCCCTCCAGGCTCTGGAGCGCTGGCCTCTGCCCGCCTGCCTGGAGCTGCTCGAGTTCTGCCTCAACGACGCCAGCACAGAGACGTCGCTGAGAACAGAGTTAGAGCTGAAGAAGAAAGAACTGGACATCTATCACTGGGTACATTTCAGACTAAGTTATTTATTCTTAATGTCCAGAAAAATGTACAGTGGTGGGAGAAGTATTCATTCAGTGTTGACCTAAGTCATTGTTTTGCACCTGGGTGAACTTTTAATCTGATATCTACATGCCCTACATATTTTTTAGTGTCAGTCCGTCACACCTGTTGACATAGTTTTGAATGACTGTGCGCTGCGTTCTTCTGTGACATAATGTGACATTTCCTTTGTGACGTGCCAAGAATTATATTCTTCTCCTGTCCCAGATGTTGAATCTACAGCCTCCGTTGCCGTGGACTACTTGGCAGGAGCTCAGGACTCAGTCTAAGACAAACTCTCAGTCCATGTTATTGACGATGGTGGAGGCAAAAGTACGTGCAACGCACCTGCAAGCGTTTACTTAATAAACTATCACACACTCTGTAAAGGATGTCAAATAGGAACGCAGAACTGAACACACACCTTAATCTCTAAAACACATATTTATTCATTCATATAATATAGTATGATTCATCTTTTATTTTTTTTGCAGGAGTTTGCTCTGTGTGCACAGTGGGTTGAGCTTTATCCTGTATCCGACCAGCTGAGACTGCAGCTGCAGACTGAGCATCTGCTTCATCTGCTGGAGAAAGGACAGGCAGACGAGGCGTTCCAGGTCAAGACCACTTAATGTCTGGTTAACTTTACATAGAAATCTATTTTAGGCTGTATGAAACAGTGTCACAATTTTGTAGGAACATGAATTTGATCGTGGCTTGTAATTAACTGAACAGGTGGATGCTTACAACACAAACACGAATCATCCTTGTAGAGTTGTATCACTGTATCTAGAGGAGACAGTTTGTAAGGTCTTCAACATTTACCGTCTTCAGCTATAATTTTCTCAGTTATTGCTGTCAAAGTTTCCCTCTCTGTGTCTTAATTACCTTTGTCCATTTGTCTCTTGCTTACCTTTTTTTTGTTTTTAGTTACTTGAAGGCCTCTCAGACTTTGTGGGCGGCCTAGACGTTTGTGAGCGAGCTCTGGACCGCCGCCCCGGATTGGCTGCCTGTCACTTCCTGGCCGACTACCTCACTCTGCATTTCCAGAGGCAGGTGTCTCCAGCACGTAGACGGCACATCCATGCCCTCCATCTGGGCTCCAAGGTTTGTGAATGTGCACTGATGTAATTTTTTACAGTATTAATCAGTGATACCTGCAGCACCTCCTCAGCTGTGTGCTGGAACACACCTAACAGCTATACTTCAGACAAATCAAATTTCATCAACAATGTCATCAGATTGCTCTGATTTAAAGTATGTATACATTTGAAGTGGTATTGTAACCACAGGAGTTTATTCAAAGGACAGATAATGTGATACATGTTTGCACTGTCACTCACAGTCATTTCCCTTTAGGGGTAATGAACAAATCCTGTTTTGCAGCGCAGTTACATGCCCAGTCTTGCATGCAACTAAACCTTGGTTTGTAGTTCTGCAACTTTAAAGTTCTGAAAATTTTATAATTGCGCAGGAACGGATGAGCTCTACCATTTCACCAGCTGGGAGTTTTTTTGTTATTGAGTATTATCTTCTGGTCAGTTTGAAAGACCTGGGGTCAGATTTATTTATCATACATGTGCACAAATACTATGTATACACATTTCCCCCACACGTAAACTGGGATTTGTAAAGAAAGAATGTGCGGTTAGAATGTGCACACCTCACACAGACGTCAGAGCAGGTGTAACCATGGTTTAAACTGAGATGGCTGCAGGTGACATGAAGGTAAATATTAAATATAAGGTGAGAGATATAGCCTTATAATAAAACATTGTTCTTTAAAATGTCAATCAACCATTAATGATTCTTTAATTTGATACTGAACTGTGAAGCACTTTCTAAAGTCAGTTTCAACATGAGCACTATGAATGAATCACTTATTATCCTTTTGTTGTTTAATTCTAATGATAAGTGAGATTTTACTGCAATAAGGGTTTGCAGAAATGTGATGAATTAATGGTAGGGATGCTGCAAATATCCACAGCCATGCGTAATGACAGCTGCTCTGGCACCATTGGAGAATCTTATTGATGTAACACAGTCGGTTAAACTGCTTTTGTTCTTTACTGTTCTTCTCATTGACAGATCTAATGAGGAGTAGAGCAGGCACAAGTATCTATTGATATGCAAAGCAATGTTTAAGGGCGTTTCCATATCCAGTTATAGCAAACTATGGGTGTGGAAATGAGGCATGTGCACGTGTGCCTAGCTCCACAATGATTGAGGTTTATGACACACAATCAGGCTTACACATGGCTGACGAAAGGCATGCACGTGCACATTTCTGTCTTTGTATGCACACACAGTTTTATGCACGTAGCCCCTGTATTCCAAATTCTCCTACTAATGAGCAAATGACAACTTAAGTGTTCTACCTGACTTATATGTGTTGTAGATAGTGGTACAGTTGCTGAATTGCTCCATGTCTTCAGGTTGTGTTAATATCAGTTGATGTGTTTTATCCTCCAGGTGTTGCTGACTTTGCCTCCGGCAGCCAGGCAGGAGTATTTCCCTCTGCTGTCAGAGCCCCTGCTGATGCTCGAGCAGCTGCTGATGAACCTAAAGGTGGACTGGGCAGACGTGGCGGTGCGAACTCTCAGGAGCCTCCTGGTTGGTCAGGAGGCTGGCTTCGGTGCCGAGGACATCGATAAGCTTCTGGCAGACTATGCCTCCAAGGCCCTCGACTTCTCATACGCCCCAAGAGAGAAATCTCGATCCGGTCAGTGATGAGTGCACGTTGTACGGTGACAGTCACGACACATGAAATGAAACGTTTGCAAAGAGTGGGTTAGGGTGATTGAAATGTGTCTGCTATTGGAGTTTGAAAAAAACTAGCCCAACCGTACCGTAAGGCACCATGTGTGAATACAAAACATTTTGTCAAATAAATTATTTTTGGCTTAAAATCGGTGGTGGTTTAAAACACAGAATGTATTTGTGCTTCCTGAAGTACTTTGTTGTACAATTTTGAAGCTTATATTTTAGCAGTCAATGACCATAGCAACTTGTTTTTCAGACTCTGTGATCAGCCTCCAGGATATGCTGACGCAGTGTCCTGCTCAAGATGGCTGCTCGGTTTCATCCGTTCGAATTGAATCCCCAGCATCATCTACAGGTCAGACATTTTTACCAGTTGTAAGAGATTACCCTGCTTGTATAATCAGCCACACAACACCACTGCTGGAGTTTACACGTTCTTGCCCAAGGAAATATAGATATTGGTTTTAAAAATGTGAATAAAGTTCTTTTTCTATGGTGTTTCTGGTGTGAATTTAGTGTTGTGTACAACTACTGTTCCTGGGATGAAACTTAACGTTCCTCTTGATTTTTCTGATTGTTTCCTGTTTTGTGGTTAATTGCAGGCAGCACCCCCACACACACCTCCTCCTCAAACAGCACGGACAGGGAGAGGGATCGAATCTCTGCAGGGAAAAAACGCCGCTCGCCTGCCAAGTTCCAGCCTCCAGATCAACCCCCTGCCCGCAAAGACTGGGTCCCTGACACTAAGCAGCACATGTGCATGGTCTGCCAGCGTGAGAGGTTCACCATGGTGAGTGGTCATGAAATAAAAAGATTTTATATATAAAGGTCTAAAACAAATTCCCCCATAGGGACAAATAAAAATATCTTACCTTCCTAAAGGAAACTCTGAGACTAACATTGACTTTTGCTTTTTCAGTTCAACAGACGGCATCACTGTCGGAGATGTGGCCGTCTGGTTTGTCACGCGTGTTCAGAGCATAAGATGCCTGTTGAGGGCTGCCCGGGAGAAGAAGTCAGAGTCTGTGACCAGTGCTACGCCTACTTTCACCCAGAGTAAGACCCTGCAGATTTAAGTGCAGCAAACCTTAAACAAAATGCTTTTAAATGTGCCCCTCACAGACCACAGTTTTCTGGAGTCTTAAGTATCCTAGTGGCATAATCTAGAAAGGACACAAAAACAAAAACATTATGAAAGCTGGTTTCATTTTACAACTTTTTGGGTACATTCAGAGCATTTGACAGGTAGTTGTCAGTCACTGTTTTTCGGCACTTTCCTAGAATAAATCCAAGTGTATTGGAAACTGGACCTTATAGCACTTTTAAGTTAATTTTCTAGTGTCTGACCTGAAAAACAATACGACAGAATAAAACCTGGGGGGAATCCGTCGGAGAGGATGTAGATTAATTTAAATTCAAACATGTAACTGTGTTTTAAAATGTATTTGTGCTGTTTTCTTTTTTCCATGCGCAGTTCTGACGATGAGCTGGAACCAGCTGAAGGTAAACATTTGTGTCCAAATGTCATTTTTATTATGATAAGGAAAAACATTTCTTTAAATCGGTCTAAAGTCTTGCAATCTGATACAGATATACTTTGGGCAAGTATCTAACAGTACAACTTTGCAATTTTTAGATTACATGAAAAAAATCTGACTTCTGTCAATCGTCAAAGTCAGGATTTTTGAGCAGTTAAGGAAAATGCTGCATTGTGTTAATTGGTCTTCTGTATGTGTTTTTTCACTGCATATGTGAGCATGACTTTGAGATTCATTGTTATGAGATCATAGATGCCAGTTACTTGATTGTGCCTCTCGTAGTTTCTGAGATAACAGCCATTTTCTTATCATACGATATAGAGTCTTTGGGCACGTGGGACTATGTGTTTTAGATATAATAACATGCATTTTGACAGCTAACTAGCTCAAGTGGTAGAGTAAGTGCCCTATGTACAAATGTGGTTCCAACCCGTGGCCCTTTGCTGCATGTCACCCACCCCCCTTTCTTTCACACTATGACTGTCCTATCGAATAAAGGTGGAAAGCCCCCAAAGATATCTTAAAGAATTTGGAAATAAACAGTAGTCCCATGTGTCCAAAGACTGAATATAGTATGATAAGACAAACTCACTTTTCAGCCAAATGGTTTGGGTGATTTAAAAATGTTCGCCAGATATTACGAGCTTCCCCCCCGTCTCTCTCTCTCTCTGTCTTTGTGCAGTGGCTGGAAGCCCTGTGGTCACAGAGGAAGCTCTTGATGGGATGCTGCATCTACCTGAAGTGGTCCAACGACAGATTCAACTCAGCACAAACTCTGCAGAGAATCAGCTGCTGCGGACTGAGTTCTACTATGAACAGGTCTGGATTTTAATGTTCAACATTACACAGGTCATTTTTAGGTCTTTCATAGTTTCTAGTCACTTGTTTTAGACAGTAAATAAATTTCATGTTTGAGTGCAGTTTTAGATAGCTGACAGAGCACCTTTCTGTCACTCAGTCATCTTGTAGTAGAACTAACCTGGTGAGTACAGTAAGACTAATTATGGCCCTCTGCTGAAACCCCAAGGCTCCCAGTGCGTACCTCTGTGTGGCGATCATGTCTCTGCACAGCGACCAGAAAGCCTGTGGTCATCAGCTCATCAGCCACTGCCGCTCTCTGTCACGTAAGCTGAACAATCCAGAGGTGGACGCCTGCCTCCTCACTGACATCATGCGGCAGCTGCTCTTTAGCGCTAAGCTGATGTTTGTTAAGGTTGGCCGCAACCAGGATCTGGCCTTGTGTGACAGGTAAGAGGTAACTCTAGGTCATCTGGATGAATTTTTTTTCTGTTAAGAACACTATGTGAGACATTTGACTAATTCCTTGTGTTTGTGAACGGCATATTCTCTTTGAATATTTTGAATACTAACCATTGCTGATTGTACAGTAGCAGTTCCGATTAAGATATGAGATACGCTGGTATTATTCGTATTGTTATCTAGGAGCATTCTTTGGACATGTATACAGCGAATTCAGAATATGTGTCTGATTTTACCACAGTTGGCGACACATGGCCTCTTGCATGTTTATGGTCAGCTCTATGCATTGTACACAAACCAACAGTTTGCAAGGCTGGTGTAGAGCTGCGTCCTCAAAAGAAAAGCCCACATTTCTGATCGGAAGAAGAAGAAACACACCTACTTTTAAAGATTATGAAAGACTCGGATATCAACAGCTTTTTGGATATGCGTAAATATCCCAGCGTCGACCATTTCAAGAAGGTGGTTGAAGGAATGAAAGAGGGAGGCTGTGTTCACATGGTCGAACAAGTTTGCAACTGGTTGAAACCTTTGTAAAGTTCGGATTTTGATGTAAAGACGCAAAATGCTCCAGCTGTTCCCCTTAACTGTATTTGACATGATCAGTGACACGTTAGGGAACTTTAATCTGAATAAGCACGGCTGCATGTAAATAGAATTGTTAGTGGAATATACAGTATATTTTAATTAGCCATGTGAACAGCTTAGTAGGAATTTTGTCTTTTTCTGAGTGAGGTCAAAAAACATTTTGGCACAGGCACATTGTGTGCATGTGATTAGTCAGTGAATTATTGTTAATCTAAAACATATTTATTATTGCAGCTTAAGTTGTTTGCTCTCAACTCCTAGATGAGCCAGTTTTTTTAGGCCAGCGGTCATGGTGGTCAGATGAGTTGTCAACCATAGGAAGTCTGTTAAAATGACTTCCAACAGATCTAAACTCACTGATACTCCTTGCATGTGCCTACATGTCCCTACAAGCGTAGTCATCTCATGCACTGTTACAGCTGTGGAAGGTCTCTGACTGTCTGTGTGTCGTCCTTTATGTGACTCACACAAATAAACACACTTTCACATTTGTCACAGTTTTGTTTCTACATTTATTTATTCTCTGTTTCCACAGTTACATCAGCAAAGTAGACGTGCTCAAAATCCTAGTGAAGGCCAATTACAAATATATTCCATCTCTGGATGACATCCTGGAGACTGCTGCTGTGACACGTCTCCGCAACCAGCTCTTGGAAGCAGAGCACTACCAGCTGGCAGTGGAGGTGAGGCAGTTTCTCTTTGTCTTATTGTCGTGTCTCTACGTGTGAGACAGCTGTGGTGGAGGTGTTATGTTTTCGGGTCTGACCGTAGGTCCGTCTCATTCTTGTGACCGTGATTTCTCAGAATGCCTCAAGGGAATTTCTGCAAATGTTGTGCAAACTTGGACTGAAGGATGAACAGATTAGATTCTGGTAGTCAAAGGTCGCTGTGACCTCACAAAACACATTTGTGGCCATAACTCAAATTCATGCACTAATTATTCCAAACTTTCACACAAATGTCTAATAGGATAGAAAGATGAAGTGATGACATTTTATATCCAAAAAAGGTCAAAGGTCAGCTTACTGTGACATCATAATGTTCTGCAGAAACACTTTCCTGGCCATTACACAACACCATAAATCTAGAGCTGCCCCCATTTAAGAATTTTCCTAGTCCACCAATAGTCGTCATTTAGGGCCGTTAGTCGACTAGTCGCCTGCATGTTTACCATATTAATTTAATTATATATATATATTTTGGGTGGGGCAACACAATGGTTTGAGTTGAAGGTGTGAGAAAGAATAGTATCAGTAACATTGTTAACACTGTGCTACATTACAGAGAAATACAAAACCATACTAATGACCCTTCATTAATATAGGCCTATATTTTATCTACAAGTGCACGTCACACACTGAGCGAGCCGCCTGTTAATGACGCTGTGGGCTAATGGGCATGTAGCTACTTCCATGTTGCAGATGATACGTCATGTTTGTAGTCGACCAATGAAGATGAGTTTACATATCACCTTGGGTTCGTCCTTCACCTTCTCAAAATGATCCCACACTTTGGATTTCCTGTCCGACATGTTGTTAACTAGCCTGTGGAATAACCGCAGGTGCCAGCCCTGGAAATTAGAGGCCGTACACATGCTGCGTCTTTAACTGCCTGGAAAACTCAAGGTCAGGCGCTGGGTACTACTCGTGTCTTTTTTGTGCCAGCCCTACATAAATCAGAAACAGGAGAGGAGACATTTGGTCAGGCTGCCAGGTTGAAGATGTGTGTGAAGCACCCATGTTTTAGAATACGTAGCTTCTTTGCAGCAGCATCCATATTTAAAGCATTGTCTACTGCCATGGCTACAACTTTGTATTCTGTCCTGTTCCTCTTGCAGTCCGCCACAGCTCATTAATTTTTCAAATATTGACCTTCAGGTGACAAAAGTCTATCAGTCCTCTGTAAAAACGTTCTCTGAATGAAGACAGCACATTTTCAGTGGACATTATTCACTCAAATCCTTCATGTCAATATGGTGACAACTTCCATTTCACCACAAAATGCATTTATATGATATTTACTACTTACATGATTATGTAAGTATAATAAGTCTCGGCCAACACAGATGTAATCTGCATATTGACTGGTTGGTGGAGGCACACCAGGCACGAATGACACTGTAATTCTAGTTTAAGATATGCCTCTAATGCTCCCTTCAATCATGTGCCCAGTGTTATGCAATAAACACCCCTCCCACACAGGTTGTGTTTCATAATCTTATCTGTTGTACAGTACGTGCCAAGATTTTTGTTTGGCTTGTGTAACCGTGATTCTAAAACCCAGTGTCCCACATTTTGCACACCTCACCTTTGTTGTTAACATCTGTTGCTAATTTCCCAGTCATATTTTGATAGCAGGTAGACCAGTGTCTCCTTGAGGCAGTTTGATATCAGGAGTTCATCAGTTTATAAAGTATTACCATAGAATACTGCAGTAGGGTTAGTTATGTGTAAGTGGTGCAGCAGTTTTACAGTTTATTTTTTATAGAATTGATTTTGATAGGATTGATTTTCTGCTGCCATTAAGACGATTCAAAGTTGCTCATGCCAAAATATTCTAAATATTGGCCCATAAATCAGTTTTAAAAAGCCTCAGACCATCATGTCGCAGAGAACTTGTTGTCTAAAACCCTTAAATACAAACTCCCACAAAGTTAAATCCATGGCTGTTCTCATTGTCTCTGGTTGTTTGGCTGCTCTGCTAGGTGTCTACCAAGAGTGGCCTGGACCCTGGTGGCGTGTGGCAGGCGTGGGGGATAGCATCTCTAAAGGCGGGGAACCTCTCAGGAGCGAGGGAGAAGTTTGCCCGCTTCATGAAGGCTCCACTGGACCGCAACCAGCTCAACCTGGGCCCCTTGCTGCTGCAGGAGGTTGTCCAGCACCTGGAGACAACTGTACAGCCCACTCTGAGTCCAGTAGGAAAACATGTCTTATTATTTATCCAGCCAGCATCTTTGCTTAGTGCATACTGTCTCGTACTGTCATTACACACAGCAGCAGAAAACATGCTCTGCCTTGCATCAGGCTCTCCTTTTGTAATTACTGTCATTAATCCTGCATGAGAGCAACACTGTAAACCCGTTAGATGTTTCACCGTCATTGTCAATGCTACTGTGTACCCAAATTGACATTGTAACGCAGGCCTAATCCCTTTTAATGCAGCTATCATTCAAACTAATCTGACTGGTCTTTGCAAAGAAAACTTACCAAATACTTTAACTTGGAATAGTAGGTGGGGATTTTTTACAGTGACGCCAACTGCAAACATAAGTAGGTAGCTCAGTGACACATACATGCATCACAACTAAAACCTAATCAAGAAAAAACTGGTGAATCTGTCTCATATAAAATCTGAGGTGGACACTGCACTTGCTTTTCATGTGCAGCAATACAAAATTCACGTCCCTCCTCAAAACATTTCTGCAGTATATTTCTGTAGTATATTTTGTGATAGCACAGCACAGCAGAGGTGAGGTGAAGTCACTCTGGTGAGCACACACTGGAATCATACAGAATGTGCGAGACCTCTTTCAGCCTCAGCTCTGGTACACAGGAATCTCCCACATCTTGTTTGGTGACAGGGGGTCTTGGCTCCGTCATATCGAGAGGACGCTAGTAATTTCTGGCATGTGTGGCTTCTTTTGGCATGGATTACACTGGCGTTTCAAATGAGAGAGTACAGTACAGTATTATCCTTTCCACCTAATTAGCTCTGGATTTTGAACCAGTTCCATTCAGATTTTTGCAACCTTGGTGCTAGCTAGCATACCCGCCCTTGTTTCCACCAGTTTTAAGTGGAATCAAAAATGTGTGTTGTGTGATGTATGTGCTGACTGTGTGTTCCTGTGTCTGTGTCAGTCTCAGGGCGAGGACATCTTGGCGTCCCTGCGGGAGCTGGAGGGTGCCCTGTGTGAGGCCGGTCCTGTGGATCGACCAGAGGGTCAGACACAGAGCAGCAACCTCCACCAAGAGTGTCTCTACTACCTGAACACATACGGCACTCACCTGGCTCTAATCAGCTTCTATATGCGTCATGACTACATGACGGAGGCCCTGACGTACCTGCTGAACAAGGTGAGACTTGAGGGGAAGTTTAAGCATGTTTGTTAATTCAACATTCAGTGTGTTTTATTTTATTTCATTATTTAATTTCATTCAAAAAGTTGAACAAGTACCTCAAGTACAGAAATTGAGTATGTTATCCTCTGAATATAAACTCACTGTCTTCCTCCAAGAAGAAAAAATTGACATATATTACAAGACAGGCATGTTTTTCTGCTTTATTTTTGCTCAGGAGTGCCCAGATGAGGTTTTTATAGAGGGCGTGTTGCAGCCCAATCTGGAGCGCGGGCGTCTTGGCATGCTGCAGGGCATAATGGAAAAACTTGATCCTGGTCTGGAGACATGCGGCCGATACCTCATTGCCTCCTGCCAGTTCCTGCAGCGACGAGGATACTACAACACTCTCTACCAGCTCCAGCAGTTTATGATGGTTAGAGTCTTTGATGTTTTTTTTCTATCTTTATTTTCAGTAAGATTAGTTGTAATTGATCCTTTGTTAAGTCCCGCCCCTGGACGCAGACTGGCCAATCATAGCATAGCACCGGGCCGCCCAGCAACTCAGCTGTGCTCCATTGACTCTAATGCAGTCGTTTCCGATTTCCTTCATTTTCAGGCTGGTTTTGTGGATTTGGAGCTAAATGTTGTG